CTTGGGAGGTTCCGTTAGCCCCACAGGCCGACCCTTTTGGGCCGTCTGGGGCCCTCTTGGGTCTCTCTTGGACTGTGTTGGGGCTCCGCGGGGGCGTCTGGGGCACTGTGAAGACGAAGCCAGCGAGTATGCTGATCGGAGATGAAGGGGTGAGATCGAAGTGGAACGGAGAGCCCCCCTACCGGGAAATCGATTTCGGTTTCGTGTTCGTGCGTGCCGTGCGGGCGAGGCGAAGCTGCGTGGGCGGGCGAGAGAAAGTCTCCTGTGGCTGAGGCGCGGCCGGAGCAAAAGAACCTTGACCGGGCGGCCGGTGCCGCGCGGTGTCCCGCCGGTGTCCCGCTGATGTCCCGTGTGGCTGAGGCGCGGCCGGAGCAAAAGAACCTTGACCTGGCGGCCGGTGCCGCGCGGTGTCCCGCCGGTGTCCCGCTGGTGTCCCTTCGGTGTCCCGTCGGTGTCCCGATGATGACGTGGATGATGATGATGATGATGATGATGACGATGATGATGATAATGATGATGATGATGATGATGATGGTAATGATGATGATGATGATGATGATGATGATGTTGATGATGGCGATGATGATGATGTTGGTGTCGTTGATGATGATGATGATGATGATGATCATGATGATGATGATGATGATGACGTCGATTGTGAGATCGAGTGTGATATCGATAGTGGGACCGAATGTGAGATCGATTGTGAGATCGATAGTGAGATCGATAGTCAGATCGATTGTGAGATGATGATGGTGATGATGGTGATGATGGCAATTAATGATGGTCACGATGGTGATGATGGTGATGATGATGATGACGATGATGATGATGATGATGGCGTCGATTGTGATCTCGATTGTGAGATCGACTGTGAGATCGATAGTCAGATCGATTGTGCGATGCTGATGGTGATGATGGTGATGATGGTGATGATGGCCATGATGGTGATGATGAGTGTGATGTTGATGATGATGATGATGATGATGACGTTGATGATGATGTTGATGATGATGACGGTGTCCTGATGATGATGATGATGATGATGTGGATGATGATGATGATGGCGATGATGAAGATGATGATGATGATGATGACGTTGATTGTGAGAGCGATTGTGATATCGATAGTGAGATCGATAGTGCGACCGAATGTGAGATCGATTGTGAGATCGATTGTGAGATCGATAGTCAGATCAAGTGTGAGATCGAGCGAATGAGATAGATCGAGTGAGATCGATTGTGAGATCGATCGAGTGAGATCGATCGAGCGAGACCGAAGATCGATAGTGAGATCGATAGTGAGACCGATCGAGTGAGACGTTGGTTCCTCCCCCCCCCGAACCTCCTGATCACCCGAAGGGTGGTCGTATAGGTAATGTACGTTTTACGAAGGGAATGGGTCGATTTTTGCCTCTTAAAGGCCCTCTTGGGGCCCTCGTCGGCCATGTTCAAGCCATCTCGGGCCCTCTTGAGGCGCTCTTGGGCGTCTTCGGGGCCTCTTGAGGCTTTCTTGACCATCTGTATGGCCCGCGCGGCCTGTCGTGGGCAATTTGGAAGCGGCCCGGGGCAGTCCCGGGAGGTCTGTGACCCCCCAAAGGTTCCGCGGGGCGCCCATGTGGGATGACGGTACAGGCCCGCCCCCCCCGTCCTACTCCGATACATATATATATATATGTATATATGTATATATATGTGTATATATAGATATATGTATATATATATGTGTATATATATACTCACACAAACAAGCAAACATACATACATACGTACATACATACACACATACATACATACATACATACATACATACATACATACATACATACCTACATACGCATACATGTATACACACATGCATGCATGCATACATACATACATACATACATACATGCATGCATGCATGCATACATACACGCACATACATGCATGCATACATACCTACATACATACACACATACATACATGTATACACACATATATATATATATATGTGTATATATATATGTATATGTGTGTAAACATATACATCTAACTATTTAGCTAGCTTCACATATAACTGTATATGTAAATGTAGCTGTGTATGAATTCCGGCACGTGTATATATTTATATGAGTATATACATACATACATACAAGACTGCCTTGGCGCTTCGCGCCATGCACCTTGGTACTTTAAGTTTGATGTGCAGGCGGAATAGCAGGAAGGTCAAGCCGACAATTTAGCGATAACTCATTGTTGCCTTTTCCGGCATCGCCGCTATAACAATGTTATTCGGTATCCTTCCTGCATGCTTCTTTTTCTTCATTTTCGCCATACCCTGCGCATTCTCCCCATCCTCCGCAGCCCTTTTTTGCGGAGGCTCCTCCTTGGAGAGCCTCTCGAGGCCTCACAAAAGTTATTTCAGGCTTTCTTAAGGCCTTCTGGAGGCCTCCTGGGCGTATTCTGGGGGCCTCTGGGGGCTTCCTCGGGCCACCCTGCCTCCAACCGCGGTCTCCCTGAACGACCGGGTCACGATTTGGAATGCTTCGGAGGGCGTCTTGGGGCCATCTTGGGCCGCCATGGGGCTCTCTGACGGCCATCGTGGACCCGTATTGTGCCGTTTTGGGGCTCTCTTGGACTGCCCGGAAGCCCTTTCGGATGGTTGTGGGGCGATTTGGGAGCCTCCCAGGCGGCTTCGGACGCCCAGAAGACCGCCGTCTTGGAGTGTCGGGAAGCCGAAAAGAGGAAAACACCCAAATTCACCAAAAACCATCAGAAAATCAATGAGTTGTGCCTCTTGGGGCCTTCTTGGGAGTGCTCTTGGAGGCCTCTTGGGCCATCTGGAGGTCACGTCGGTCACTCTTGGAGCGCTCTTGTGCTGTCTTGGGGGTCTCTGCGATGACCCCCCTGATCGCCTTAGGTGTGCTGGGAAGGCTTGGCAAAACGCCCTGCGAGGCCCGGGGCGCCGCTTCGAGGCCCGTCCAGAGTGTCCCAAAGCCCCAGATCCCGGGAGTCCGGTTTTGGGGAGGGGGGGACCCCTTTCGCGTTCCGCCCAGATTGTAAAATCAGATAAAAAGGGAATATAGCTATAAAAATAACCATGCCACCGTGCCGTGGGCACTGGGTAGCAAGTCCGCTCGAGGTCTCTGTGTTGAGTACGTGAGCTCTCGTTGAGGGGCCTGGAGGCCCCAGGGACGGGGCGTGTCCCATGGCTTCTGGGGCGTGCAGCGTAACTTCTCCCGAGGTCAGACGGCGCCAAGATGGCCGAAGAGGAACCCACGAAGACGGTCCAAGAGGGTCCCGAGATGGCCCCAGAGGGCCCCAAGACGGCACAGTATGCCCCCAAGACGGCCGAATAGGCCTCCAAGACGGCCCAGGAAGGCCCCAAGATGCCCCTCAGAGGGCCTCGCGAAACCAACATCCCTGGTTTACCTCACTCTTTGTTGTTCAATGATTTCGTGTTGCTCACGGTTTCAGGCGTCGGGGCCCCCAGGAGCCCCAAGAGGCGCCCACGATTGTCCCAAGAGGCCGCCCAAAAAGACCCAAATATGGCACAAGAGGACCCTAAGGCAGTCCAAGAGGCCCTCAAGACGATCCAATAAGCCTCCACAAGGGCCCCAAGAGAGGGCCAAGAGAGGGAAATCGAAGCGACCTTCTGAGCCTTTCCTCCACTTATTGCCCCCAACACGCCCCAAGAGCCTCCTCATTAGAAATGCCCAAGAGGCCCCAAAGATATCTCCAAGCAACCTCCAGCAGGCCCCCAAGAGCCCCCCCAAGAAGCCTCTCAGAGGCCCCAGCGAGACATCCCAAGAGATCCCACAGGCCTCCAAGAAGACTCTGGGCTGTAACCCGAAGACGGTGGCGGAATGTGTCGAAGGCCACGAGATGGGCGCCTCCGGCGGGCTCATCCACCATAGCCAGAAATGCGATTCGCCTGCGACCTATCGACAACCTGCCTGACACGTCGTGAGCTCTGTGTAGTGCCAGAAAAATTCGGCACCAATGGTGGGCTCGTTCTCATTGGAGGGGCTCACGTGTGCCCGCAACCTGCATGCGACCTGCATGCGACCAGCCTGCGACCCGCCCGCAACATGCCTCGACCTGTTGACTGTAACGCATCGGCTCCTGCAGCGGCTATAGCAAGCTCGCCTTTATTCGGGGAATTGTCGTCTAGAGCATGCCACGTGCGACCTACCGTCGCACTTCTTCCTTCGGCTACATGTAAGAGTGACCCTAGGCAATAATAACTTTGGCGTGTGACCTGCGGGGGCCGCGGGACGGTCGAACCGGAGCGTGCAAACTGCTGTTATGGGGTCGCATCCAACCATCTGGGCAACCCGGTCTGCCGGCACCAAAGGTCACTCCAACGAGAGGTCAATCGTAAGCATAGTTGATTCCTGCACCCGCCCGCAACCTGCTTGTCGCAATCAGGAACTCTTGCTTCGCGTGTCGCGGCGGGGGCCCCAGAGACACGCCATGCCTTGCGAGTGGATAGCGTGTCGCTCCGCTCCGCGGGGCGGGAGGCTCGGAACGGCTCGGGACGTTGACGCTCGCGGATGGGGACGCGGATCGCGTGTCGCGCCGAAGCGTGGTGGGCCAGAGCTGGCGGAGCGGCACGCTCAGCCCAAATCCCCGACCATCACGGCGCGAGTGCGCTCCGCTTCGATTCGCCTGCGCTGCTGTCTCCGTCCGACTGTCCTGGGCGAGGGGCCCCAGGCGATGTCCACATCGGCCGCAGCGCGCGGGAGGTGCAAACCTCCCCATCCGGCCCGCCCGCCTCCCTTCGCTCTTGTCCGCAATTGCGGGGCTCGGGCACGTGTCGCCACCCACTGGGCAACACCCTCACTCCTCTCCGCACGCCCGCGAATGAAAAAGTCTGGTCCCTCCTCCCCGTAGCACATGCTGGACACATGGTCTGTTCTTGTTCTTCTTCTTCTTCTCCTCCTCCTCCTCCTTCTCCTCCTCCTCCTTCGCCCCGCGGCGCAATGAAAACGGCAAACTGGTCGAGCCCCTCTCGGCCTGTTCAATTTGTCCCGGTCGTTGAGGAACTGGACCGGGACACCGCGCTCTTTCTCCTTGTCTCCTTGCTGGAAGAACTCCTCCAGGCACAACTCGGCCCAAGCCTGGGTAACGTCCCACGCCTTGCACGGGTTGGAGATGTCGCACGCGTGCAGGATGGCGTTCAGAACCAGAGGCTTGTTCTCCGCCTTGGTGAGCACGCCGATCTCCTCCTCCGATCTCGCCCTCTCGCGCTTCTCATCCAACACCTCATGGTTCATCTCATACAACACCTGCAGCTCCTTCACCATGGCGGCGTGCAACATCATGTCCGTATGTAATATTGACTCGATGCAGATGTTCCGAACTTGCCGACGCTCCTCTTTCGACAGGCCTGCGAATACGTTCGCCCGCGGATCTCCTAGGATCGTGTACAGCTTTGCGCAGTGCATATTTTCTAGTGGCGACAAGTCATTGTACTGCAGCGCCAGCTCGTGCCCGACCTCGGACAGGAAGCCGTTGTTGAGGCCGAAGTGTCCGACGTCGTGCGCTATGGCCGCGACAAGCAGTGAGAATTGTTCCAGCTCGGATATGAAGTCCGAGGACCCGGTGATCCGCATGACACGGCCCACCGCGTGCGTCACGTCCACGGCGTGCGCGAAGTTGTGGAAGGGGGCCTTGTCTTTGGGCTGGTACCCAATCTGCACGGACAGGAGGAAGTGGGACAGCGTGCGCTCCTGCTCCCCCGTCTGCAGCATGGTCCACCCCTGATCGCTGAAGTTGGCGATGGTGAACTTGGCCACCCTCAGGTGCTGGTCCGGAGTCAGCCCGATCGGATTGAAGGCCCACGAGTAGTACGCCTCCTCGGAGACGCCTATGTCCTCCAGCCTCTCGGCGGCCAGCCCCGACGTGGGAAGCCTTGCCCGGGTCCGCTCCACGCTCCACTGCCCCTCCCCTGCGAAGCCCTTGCCACGCATCATGCTTAGGACGCCGATGTCTTCGTCCCTGAGGTCCTCCGTTGCACTTGGCATCGCGTCGGCCGTATGCAGTTGCGTGATGATCGCGAGCTTCTTCACAACCTTCTCTAGGAGATTCATCTCGCTGGCGTTGTCAATGTCTATGACGTCGTCGGCGCTGTCGAGATCATCCTCGTCAACCTCCGCGCTCATGTTGAAGACGGTCGCGGCTATCTGCCGCACCGTTGCCAGCATGCTCTCGAGGGGCCGCACCGCGAGCTCGGTGACGGTGCTGGACAGCGCGAGGCCGCTGAAGACCATGATGGACAATATGAATATTACACTGCTCATGCCGATGATCGGGCGTTGCTTCATGGAGGGCCCTTTAGGGCCCCTTCAGGGTACAAACACATCACCTTCTTTCTAAATCCCCCTATCTATGTATGCCCCCCCATTACGCAACGCCCGAGATGAACGCCTCCCGTGTCGCCGGCTCCTGCATGTTGAAGCCGATCATGAAAGTGTCCGTGTGGACGTGCAGCGCCGAGGCCATCCGCGATGGTCCCTCGATCTGCGGGTGCCACGAGGCAAGGTCTTCGCTATCGCCATCGCTGCACCGAAATAAATCGCCGTCTACGAACCCGAGGCACGCCAAGTACGGTCCGTAAGGGAACTGCCCGTAGAAATCGGACATCAGATCCAAATCTCTCAAGGTCCCGTTCAATCTTCCCTCCGCCAGGTTGGCAGAGAGCCGGTCTACCCACGTCCGCATGGAGTAATCCGTCTGCGGGAATGTCCAGACGTCCATCAGGGGGACCGCCATGACCAGGATGAGCGTCAGCGCGGCCACCCTGGAGGCGAGCAGCGTCGCGAGCTGGCCAGAGATCATCGAGCCGATGCCAACCTGGGGTTCGGCATCCTCTAGGGGAACAAACCATGACATAAACAGAAAAACTCCGAGGTCCGCGCGGTTTTCTCGGATCGGCGCTGGACCCCCCTCCCTGGCGCGCGGAGCGCGCCAGGAGCGGCGCCGGAGCCGCCGCCAGGGGGCTACAGCGCCGAACTGAGAGATCTGCGCGGACCTCCTCCGAATGTTCATGCTCATGTCATTGTTTGTTCCCCTCTCCTTGCTCCCGCCCATGAGCGGAAGGAACCGCAAGAACCGCACGACCCGGGACAGCCGCCCTGCCCGCGCTGCCACCTTGGTGGCTCGGAGGGCCCGCAGCACCATGAGGTTCCTCTTCGCGTCGTCGTCGGCCGAGCTGTCCTGCTGCGCGCGCGTCGCGTCCGCGCCGAGCATCCAGGGGATATCGTAGATCATCGATACGGTGCCGAACATGTCCATGATAAAGAAGATAGGGGAACAAACAATGACATCAACACTAAAACTCGGAGGTCCGCACAGATCTCTCGGATCGGTGCTGGAGCTCCCTGGTGGCGCCTCTGGCGCCGCCCCTGGCGCGTTCCGCGCGCCAGGGAGGGAGTCCGAGCGCATATCCGAGAAATCCATGCGGACCTCCGAGATTTGAAGTTGATGTCATTGTTTGTCCCCCTAGAAGAAAGAAAGCAGATAACTCGCCTCCACTGCGCTCAGGCCGACACACTCTACTGCGAACAACAGCATGACTCCTGTGAGCAGTACGTTCGGCGCGGCGTTGCTGTTCACACCGGCCGCTGCCCAAACGTCAACCAGAAAAAGCGCCAATACCAGCGCGACGATCATCACGCTCACGAAAATCGTGCTCCGCAGAGCCCGGCGAGCAGAGACTGCGGTCTGGCTGTGGTACCATCTGCTCCGCTGGAGGCGGACGCGCAGCCGGACAACCCACGTGGGCGAGCCACGACCATCGCTCTTCGACTCCGGCGCCTTGCCTCCATATCTCGCATCTTCTGGCATCGTCTCGGCGAATGTCGCCCCTAGACTTTAAACGCGACCGAGGTGGCATGGCATTGCCCACGAAACTTCAATGAAGAGCGCCCCGTGAGCCAAAGCGCCGCAATAAAGAGTATGATTATGATTATGACTGTTATATGATGATGCTGATGATGATGCTGTTGATGTAGATGATGATGATGGTTCTGATGTTGATAATGATGATGATGATGATGATGATGATGATGATGATGATGATGCTGATGATGATGATGGTGATGATGATCAAGATGACACTGGTGGTGGTGTTGATGATGATAATGGTGATGATGATGATGATGATGATGATGATGCTGATGGTTATGATGATACTGATGATGAGGATTATGATGCTGATGATGGTGATGATGGTGACGGTGTGGTAGTGAAAGTATGACGACGTCGTGGCGACGAGTGTAAACTGGGAGAAAAAAATACTGCGAACGGGTACTCCACGTGATTACTGCGTTGCGCCCTCGCATGGCCTGGAATCTACGACCCTGGCGTTCTCCGTCCCTGCGCCCGCCCCTGCGCCCGTCCTCTGCCACCACGCGACGCGCACAGTGCAGCACACCATTGTAGAGGCGCTGGGAGGCGTCGGCGGACAGCTGGTTCTGCGTCTGCAGCTTGATCTTCACCTCGGCCCCAGTGGAGCCCGAGAGGGGCCTGCCCCGTGGCTCCTTCGAGGCTTCTGGGAAAGGCGCCTGCCCCAGCCTGCGACTTCATTGTTTGCGCACCCCCTGCAGGCTGGCGGGCGAGAGGCGGTAGAAGCTAGAAGCCGGCGGAGCTCAAAACTCTCGGTGTCGACTGGCCAGAAGTGGCCTGATCCGACAGATTGCGTGTCGATGGCGCTTCTCCCGAACACCCGCAATCTCCAATGCCTTGCTCGAAAACTGCCGCATGCACCTAGCAAGGACCTGATGCTATCGGAGCACTGGCTCAATGAATTGATCAGCCCCAGAGAGCCCATCCGCCACACTCGCAATATCCCACGCGCTAGAAACAACAGGTGCAGCATTCATGGTGTAAGGTCGGACTGGTTCGTCGCACGATGTCTACCGCCACAGATCGTCCAGATCGTGTCCTCGTCTACTCGCTACGTCCTCCCTCGCATCCGCCAAATCCCGCACACTATTTCTGGCCTTTCCACTGTCTGAAAGTTGCATTTCTCCTCCTACCTTCGCCCCCCCCCCCCCACCACACACAAACACCCACACACACACAAACACACACACACAAGTGGCACGCGGGCCATGGCTCTTGCACAGGAAGGAAGGGATGTGGGGAGGAGGCGGAGGGGGCGCGCTGGCTGGCGGGTGGGGGATGCGGAGGGGGCGCAGGCGGAGGGGGCGCGCTGGCTGGTGGGTGGGAGGATGCGGAGGGCCTCTAGTAAGGTCAAGAGGGGAACCGAGAACTGAAAAATCGAGCCCTCCGCCCCAGAAGGCGCCCAGGAGGCCCCAAAAAGGCCCCAAGAGACCCCCAAGAGGCCCCCAAGACGCCCCAAGAGGCGCCCAAGAGGCCCAAAAGAGGCCCCAAGAGGCCCCAAAACGGCCCCCAAGAGGCCCCAAAACTCGGCTAGCCCACAACGGTGCGACAATATGGGCCGGCGGAATGAGCGAAGCGATTAAATAAAGGAGTCGGGGCGGAGGGGGCGCTCTGGCTGGTGGGCAGGGGATGCGGAAGAGGCGCGCGGGAGGCGGGGGGGCGGTGCCGTGCCAAAATAAAGGGGCCGGGGCGGAGGGGGCGCTCTGGTTGGCGGGTAGGGGGATGCAGAGGGGGCGCGCGGGGTGGGCGGGGTGGCGGTGCCGTGCTGAAAAACAAGGGTTGGGGCGGAGGGGGCGCGCTGGCTGGCTAGTGGGCGGGGCGATTCCGGGGGTGCACTCGGGATGGGGGGGCGGTGCCGTGCCGACCGAAATAAAAAGTCGGGGCAGAGGGGGCGCGCTGGCTGGCGGGTGGGGTGACGTGGAGGGGGCAAGCGGAATGGGAGGGGGGCGGTGCCGTGCCGAAAGGAAATGGTCGGCGTGGAGGAGGTGGTGCCGCGTCGAAATAAAGGGGTCGGGGTGGAAAAGGCGCTCTGGCTAGCGGGTAGGGGGATGCGGAGGGGGCGCGGGCCGGAGGGGGCGCGCTGGCTGGTAGGTGGGAGGATGCGGAGGGCCTCTGGTAAGGGGTCGGGGCGGGGCGGCGCCGTGCCGAAACCAAAGGGTCGGGGCGGAGGGGGCGCTCTGGCTGGTGGGTGGGAGGATGCGGGAAAGGCGCGCGGGATGGGGGGGGGCTGCCGTGCCGAAGTGAAGGGTTCGGGACGGAGGGGGCGCGCTGGCTGGCAAGTGGGGCGATGCAGAGGGGGGCGCTCGGGACGAAGGGGGGGCGGTGCCGCGGGGGCGCGGCGCCGCGCCGAAATAAAAAGGTCGGGTCGGAGGGAGCGCGCTGGCTGGTGGTCGGAGTGATGCGGAAGTGATGAGGGGGGCGGTGCCGTGCCGAACTAGAAAGGTCGGGGCGGAGGGGGTGCGCTGGCTGGTGGGTGGGGTGATGCGGAAGGGGCGCGTGGGATGCGGGGGGGGGGCGGCGGTGCCGTGCCGAAATAAAAGGGTCGGGGCGGAGGGAGCGCGCTGGCTGGTTGTCGGGGTGATGCGGAGGTGGAGCGCGGGATGGGGGGGGCGGTGCCGTGCCGAAATAAAGTGGCCCGAGCTATAGACACCCTGCGCAAGAGAAAAAAAGTCACACATACATGTGCCCCGCAAGTGCTGGCTCTACTGGAAAGGGGGACCACGTCGAACGGATTGAACACTATGGACACCGTGGTCATCGCACCCGCAGCAGCCATCATCTCGGCTGCCACCTCAGTGAGCGGCTCAACATCTCTCACGACATACATATCCTTCTCGACGTCCGCGCAACTAAACGCAATATATGTTGGCGTGTCCTTTGTCCCCGCGTGAAGCATTGAGAGCTGAGTTTTGTCTGCTTCTTTCTTTACTGCGTCCTGCTGCAACGTGCTCACTGAACTTGGTCAAACTCATGGCGCGAAAAGGGGCTCTCAAGCTCAATCGGTTGCGTTTCACCAGGTCCCAATGGAAACGACACAGAACATGCACACGTGTCGGGCACACTCCCCCTGATGTGCCAACTGCGCTGCGAAGCTTCCAAGCTGAAGATGCTTCGAGAATCCCGCGGTAACACGTCAACACAAGGATGCATGAAGTGGTCATGGGCTTCCGTCCTGATCGTGGGGGGGGGCAAAACCTGAATGTCTCAACACATGTCCACATGAGGCCCGAAAGCGGTGCGCTAAGGAACTTGTCATAAGCGGGAGGGCGAGGAGGAATGGAGTAGGAGGAAGGTATTGCAAGAGAAAGACGCTGAAACGTCTGGACCGCCTAGAGTCTGATGCCTAGAGGGGGGCACTGTGAGCGGGCGAGGACTGTTTTCCGCATGTGCCTTTCATGTGAAGGGAGGGGTAACGCGAGGATGAGCATGATGATTTTGATGGTGATGGTGAAGGTGGAGGTGGTGGTGGTGGTGATGATGATCATGGTAATGATGATGGTGGTGGGGTTGGGTCTGGGGTTGATAACGGCGATGGTGGTGATGATGCTGATGATGATGATGCTGCTGATGCTGCTGAAGATGATGCTGATGATGGTGATTATGATGATGATGATGATGATGCCAATGGTGCGGATGCTGATGCTGATGCTGATGCTGATGCTGATGCTGATGCTGATGCTGATGCTGATGATGATGATGATGATGCTGATGCTGATGATGATGATGATGATGATGATGATGATGATGATGATGATGATGATGATGATGATGATGATGATGATGGGCGACCCTGCAGGCGGAGGAGGATGAGATGGAGGATCTCCTCGTCCAATAATCTCCTGGTCCGGTGCAGTCCCTCCGCAGACCCCTGACGTCGTGATTTTTCACGTGAGATCTTAGAAGTCCCCTTCTCTGATGCCAGCTTCTCATCCCGAGTCGTTTTTGACGGCCCTGGGGCGCAGCAAGGGCACCTGGGGATCGAACATTGCCCAACACCTCTCGTCGTGATTCTTCGAAGCTGCGAGGGAGTCTGGGGTCTAGATCGTCCTCCTCAGAAGGGGGATGATCACTGACCAAACTGCCAGGTCTGCTTGGGTTGCACCCCAACTCGCAGCCTGTCAGTAGGGCTTGCTAGCGAGGGCTCAGAAGGGGAAGGAGGAGGAGGAGGAGGAGGAGGCGGAGGAGGAGGAGGAGGAGGAGGAGGAGGAGGTGGGGGCGCCGGGCCGAGCCATCGAAGGCGACGCCGCCGTCGCCGCCGTCGCCGTCGTCGTCGTCGTCGCCGGCGTCACCGTCGTCGCCGTCGTCGTAACAGGAGGAGGGGAAGAGGAGGCCCGAGGAAGGGAGGAGAAAGGCGGGGACTTGATGATGAGAGACAATGTCATAATCACGGAAACTTTCGGCGTCGGCGCTTGACCCCCTCCTCGGGCGCACGAAGCGCGCCTGGGGACGGCGCCAGGGGCGCCGCATGGGGCCCCAGCGCCGGCCCAAGAAATCCGCGCGGCCCTCCGAACAGTAAAGATTTCTGTTTTTTCGTCGTTCGATCCGAGGAACGGGGGAGGACGGGAGGGAAGGATGATCGAGAGGAGCGGGGGAGGAGGGGGGAGTAAGGGAAGGGAAGGGACGGATGATCAGGAGCAGGATGAGGAGGAAGGGAAGGCAAGGGTGAGAAGGATAATGAGGGAAGGAGGGAGAGAAGGGCGATGATGCTAATGATGATGATGCTGATGACGTCGACGATGATGAAAAGGAGAAGGAGAAGGAGAAACGCAAGGGCAGGAGGATGAGGATGATGAAGGCGAATGGAAGATACGCCGGCTGTGGGCGGTCGCGGGCTGAGCTGGCCACGGGCGGAACCGCCAGCGGCGCCGCGGAGGAGCCCCCCATGGCCGGCGCCCAGGCCGTCGGGGTGGGCGGGGGCCTCTCGCCGCCCGCGCTCAAATTGGGGGGCACAAAAGACCCTGGTCGAGCCAGGGGGCGGGCCTGAGCTGGAGCGAATCGCGAAATCGAA